AGGATCCGTGCTTTGCGCGGGAGGAAGTTGATGGTCACAATTTTCTGTATAAGTTCGTGGTATATTTATTTTGGAAAGATTTGTTGCGTAATTATTTTCAATTTTAATTAGAAATTCGTTTTGATTAATGGGATATATGTATGTATAATATTAATGGCAAATTCTGTAAATAATCTAATAAAATTTGGGTAATTATTTAAATAGATGACAAATCATTTTGAGAGCTACACATCAGCATGGCAATCTTGTTAATAACACGTCAATGTAAGGTTTATTTTTTAGAGTATTTCTCTATTAATATATAAGGGATTTTCTATCAAAAAGAGTAAATAAGTTGAATATTATGAACAATTAATACTAAAATATGAAAATATTTATAGATAACCAATAGAGTTTTGCTGTCAAAAAAAAAAAAAAAAACCAATAGAGTTTATTTTTCTCATTTATTTATTTTTAATGGGATATTTTAATATTCAAATATTTTAATATAGTTTTATCATGTATTTAATTATTTGTTGACTGCGTTTATGACGTTTTGATATGTTTTATCAGTTTGTAATTAACTTTCACTTTTAGTCAATTTTTAGAGATTTTTTTCCTATATGTTATTATGATCTTTAGATTTTAGCCATGATTTCTGGAATCTAATTTTCTTTTCTACTTTTTATAGTTCGTGTATGCATCTAATTTCTTATATATACAATATTCACGTGTACATAACCATTACATTCATCACTTTTTATTTTTGAAGTTTTCATTTCGATTCTATCATCAAAGATGTCTAAAACCACCGTTATTGCTATTTTCATGATCGTCCTCGTTCTAGGTTTGATTCACACTTTAACATATTATACAATTAATCATTTAAATTATGAAATCATATTACATATTTTCATGCATGTGTCTTCTCATTTGTTTGATAGTTTCTTTAATTCGTCGCCTTTTATTTTTTAAAACATTTTTTTTTGAGATTATGTCTAAATATTTATATTAGGGCTGGTGACAAAGGAGACGCAAGGACAAGAATTGTGTCATGACTATATGTTAGGAGCAGAACCATGTGAAGAAGACAAGTGTGTCGCTAAGTGTATTTGGAGGCATGGCACAGGTGGAAAAGGCTCGTGTATGCCAAAGCCAAGCAAGCAATGCCTCTGTACTTATAGTTGCAGTGTTTGATTTTTATTGTTCTCTCTATAAACTATTCTCAATTCTAATAATAAAATAATATATCTTAATTTTGATGTGTTTGTGAATTATGATTTCAATTATTTGGCATAAACTATAAATTGGTATACTTTAGCATATATATGTGCCATAATTGGTATACGGAATTATAAATGTGTTGAATTTCATTGTATACATAGATACATCATTGTTTTTTCTGTAATGAACAAATAATGTTTGAGAATTAAACAATTATAAGTTCAAATTAAAATATTATTGGAGAATTCTTTTATAAACCATGAGTTGAGAAGTGATAACATTGTTCTCGTCATGACAAGTGTTTTTATCAAGACGTATTAAGGTGCAATTTGTTTGTCAGGTATCTTCTAGAACCAAATTCTATTTCAATTGTTTTGCATCTGTTATTACCTTCATAAAAAAAATTATTAATATTTTGGAGATTAATCTATTAGTTAAAAATCTTGTGGAAGCTCCCTTGCCCCATTAGTTGACCAAGGGTTGATTAATACTTCTACACTAAGAGGTATGGGGTTCGAGTCCCAGATATTGCGATTTATTAACAAATTTGCAGATTAATGGAGACAAGCTTGTATACTTAAGTATGCAGGAGATCTCCAGCGATGTACAATTATAACCGTGCGCCAGGATTCTACGCAGAGAAGGAAGTGTCGCCAGGTCGTGGATCATTGAAGGTATTCATCAAGATCATGAAGAAGGAAGCGTAGTCTGTCGTGGATCTACTAAGGGTCGGCAGAAATTGTCAGTTGTGGAATCGTCTATGTAACAGTTCTCATAATTAGCAATTAATAATAAAATCTAGACGACAAAAAAATCTATTAGTTAAAAATCTATTTAATAAAACTATTTATCCTACTAATATTAAAAAGGAAGTACATCCAAAAATTTTGACGAATATTGCATATGCCATTGGAATAAAGGAAAAAAATCATGAAGGGTAGATATCTAAGTTTTTTTAATTTTTATATCCAAACAAATCTCACAAATTGTTCTCTATTATCCATGTAATTAAATACCCTATTAGAATCAATTTCAATATCTTTATATTTTGTTTCAAACTATAAGTACATATTTCTTTATGGAACATAATCTTCTAATACTCTGTTTTTCAATTTTTATTTTATTTTTCTTAATAAAAATAAAGAAATAGAAACATGAATAGTATTTCAAAACCAGACTGTTCAAAACATAAAAATATACATTCATCAATATATTAATTTCTTTTATAAATAAAATATATATAAAAAAGAGTAAACAAAGTTGAATATTTACGAACAAATAATAATATAATATGAAAAATATTTATATATAATACCCATAGAGGTTGTCAAAATAAATACTAATAGAGTTTATTTTCTCATTTATTTATTTTTAACGGTATATTTTAATATTTTGATATATTTTGAATATTTAAATATATTTTTATCACATATTTAAATATTTGCTGACTGATTTTATGACGTTTTGATATGTTTTAATCACTTTGTAGTTAAGTTTCATTTTTAGTCAATAAAGATATTTTCCTATATCTGTTATTATGATCTGTAGGGGCCATTTTAAGAATCTAATTTTCTTTTTTACATTTTATAGTTTGTGCATGCATCTAATTTCTTATATATAGGGTATATTCACTGTACATAACTATTACATCCATTGCTTTTTATTTTTGAAGTTTTCATTTCGTTTATATCATCAAAGATGTCTAAAACCACTATTCTCGCTATTTTTATGGTCGTCCTCGTTCTAGGTTTGACTCATGCTTTAACATATTATACACTTAATAATTTAAAATATGAATACATGTTAAGTATTTTCACGTGTTTTCTCATTTATTATTATTTGATAGCTTTTTTATTCGTTACATTTTATTTTAATAGCAAAAGAATTGAGATTATGTTTAAAAATATTTATATTAGGGCTGGTGACAAAGGAAACGCAAGGACAAGAATTCTGCCATGAGTATATGTTAGGAGCAGAATCATGTGAAGAAAACAAGTGTGTCATTATATGTGGTTGGAAGCACATAGGTGGAAAAGGCGCGTGTATGCCGTTGCCAAGCAAGCAATGCCTCTGTCGTTTTAGTTGCACTGTTTGATTTTTCTTGTTCTCTCTATAAACTATTCTCAATTCTAATAATAAAATAATATTTTTTAATTTTGATTTGTTTGTGAATGATGATTTCGATATTATTTGGCATAAACTATAAATTGGTATTTTAGCATATGTATATATATTAATATATATATGTGCCGTAATCGATAGGTTTTGAAGACCGTGTAGATGATTCTAGGTTTTAAAGATCAATTTCTCTGAAATCTAATAGAAATTTGAAAATGACAATAGAAAGTGTTACTAAATTTTTTTATCAAAAGCGTTACTAAAAGTTTTACTCTCACCTTTTTCGTACAACTTTTTTTTCTTTCAATTTTACATTAATCCGAAAAAACTTACAGCTCCAAATAACAACTAAAAATTTTGTACAGCTTTGTGTTACTAATCGGACCTAATATATAGTTCAATCATATTATTCTTCTTTAAAAAAACTATGTACAAAGTAGTAAGTACAGTATGGTGACTTTTTGCCGCAAATGGATTTATTCGAGAAGACAATGACCTCAGCTTACTGTTCGTTTGTCTTTTAATATTTTCTGTCCTTGCATTTTTTTAATCTCAGTTTTAAGACCTATGTTTCTAAATTTAAAGTTTTGAAAACTCTCCCCTGTAAATATTCTTTTTTTTATGGCTTAATCAATTTAACATTTCATAAAAGATAAAAAAAGAGTATATTTTTTTACCAAAAAGAAAACTAACAACATATTTACATAGGTTAGTTTACGTTTGATTGGTTAATTAGATTTTGACATGTAAATTTTCTTAAATTTCTTAAAATTCATTTAGCGTGTATATTAAACAAGAAGGTAAGAAACAATGAGTATTGAAGTTTAAGATAATAATATAGTTATTTAACATTAAGTTACTCTGATAGAAATTGAATTTATCATTGTTTTGTAATAGTATCTTTTATTTGGGACCGAAACACACAATAAAAAAAGACTAATGAACTTTTTCTTTGTCAACCATACATTAATTAAAAGATCATTCCATGATTGATAGCTAAATCTATAAAAAAAAGTTTACAAATAGAACTTCAGAAAATAATAATTTAGAAGATCGAGCTAGACAATCTATTTTAGAATTACAAGAACGAGAGATATTAGCTAAGGAGAATGAGAGAAAGAAAATACGGAGCAAATTACTATTGATATAAATTATTGAACTCTTATCCATTTAGATGAAGTGCATATAATTAAAATCTGATTGTTTATGATGGAACAAATAGTTAAGTTGCAATACAAAATGGGGTGTGTGAGATCCAAATCTGGTTTCTGACTGGTAGCCTTGTCGGTAAAACTTCAGCTACTATTTCCAACATTTTTCCGATGACGTTTACCCAACTACTATATTTTGTTGTAAATTTGTCTGAATTTAATCTGTCGTTGTATATCGAAAATTATCAAAGAAATTACTACTGTCGGTATTGAATCAGAAATTTTTGACGATCTAGATCTAACGGCTAAATTCCGTTGAAAATTTGTCGGAAAAGAATTATACAAAAAGGTCTTACCAACGAAATTCGTCGTAGGAATTAAGCTATTTTCTTGTACTTCGTTCCGCCTTCTACTTCTCCACGTTGGCTTTGTGAAGAAGATACATACATATAGATTAAACTATACTCAATTCAACTATTATTATCTCAACTTTAAACAGCTTGAATTCCAACAAGGCTCATATTATACTAGCATCGAACCCATATATTTAGTCGTAAATCAAATCTGCAAAAAAAAAAAAAGACGACTCACGAGTGAAAAACATTAAGTGATGGTCAGTTAAATCATTCACTTAGTAATTGGTCGATGCACTGCATTAAGTGGGAGTTTCTTGTTAGATACATATCCAATTTATCCTGAAAAAAAAACATCAAAGAAAAATTGGTTCTTTAGATAAGTGAATAACATGGAAGAAAGGTAAGAAGTGAAGAGCTCAAAGCACCAAATGTATAGAGAGATAGAGCCTACCTGGGAGGAATTGGATTTGGGCCATTCACGAGCAAAATGTCCTGCTCCTTTACTTTTGTAGCATACACTCGGTGAGTCTCTGCCCTGCGAAGTGTTTATGCTCGATGAGAAATTCTTTTCTTCCCTACTGTTTTCTGGAAAGCGTAGGCTGGAAGAATTGGGGCGGTCACGCTTAAAATGCCCTTCTCCCCCAAACTTAGAGAATGATGGACTGAAAAAATCATTTTCGTTGCTTTCATCATAGTGTCTACCACATGCCTAGAGAGAAAGTTATATTAATAACTAGAGAATAAATTAAGCATCTTTTTTCTAACTAAAATGAAAAGTGATCAATTCTGTTTAGGTACTCAAACTCAATTAACAGTGTGGATGATTCGAAACTAAAATCTCAACAACTTACCAGTCCAGTATGACCTAGTTGACCACATCTGTAGCAAGATACAGCCCATGACGGTGAATTATCGGGTTCGACACAGCATAGATGGCCAAAGCTTTTACAAACATAGCATTGTATATCCTAGTCAAAGTAAATAATAGAAGTTATAAGAAAGGAATCATAACCAAAGTATTAAATTTCAGGAAAACAAAAGTCACCTTTAAATCTTCCTTAGAGTACTCATACTTGCACAAAATCATGTCATGTCCCAAGTCTCCACATCTTAAACATACAGCTCCTTTAGACCCACTATTGTGCTTATCCGGACAATCTTTAGCTCGATGTCCACCTTTATTGCATATATAACAATCATGTCCCTGTAGAAATAAGGAAAAATTTACTCAGAAACCTTATGCCAAAAAAAGAGACTACTCATCCTAAATCTTCCACGGCCACCACATAAAACACTTCTACAAGGTTATATATGAGCTTTAAAGAGTGCAGCAGACAAATTTAAGTTCTACCATCAAACTTAAGACCGCACCTTAGAACACTGCTTTGCACCATGCTCCAAACTCCCACATATAAAGCAAGGCTTCCTACGCTTGGTAGGAGTTGGACAATTGACAGTTATATGACCTTGCTCACCACAGCTATAACAAGTCACCCAACCAGCATCAAGAGGGTCAAAGTATCTTGCTCCACGCTGATAACAAAAGACCCCAACAATGGTCATCATCACAGACAAGTTACACAGTTTTGAGATAAGAGTAACTATTCAATAAACTCACAAGAAGCTTATCCAGAACCAAAATGCTACATGTTTCTTCAGTTTTCGGTTCATCAGATCTCTCAACCTCATCATCCTCTCCTTCACCTCTTACTACCTCCTCCACCACTTTCTCTTCATCTTGGTCTTTCCAAACAATAGGCTGTTACATTTTAGACAAAAATCGATAAGCATTAAACACAAGCTTCAAACTTTCCCATTGCAAATCAAACACAACTGATTCTCAAATCTATAAAGCAATTAAGACAACAATAATTGAAACTGTAATGAGAAGATACTTACAATTTCGTGGGTAGCTTCAAGCTTATGTCTCTTCATCTTCTTATTACTCTCAGATTTTTTAACCTTAGACTTTCCTCCATTAACCATCACAGTGCTAACTACACCAGAATCAGAGAGATCAGAATCAAGCTTGTTCCCAACATCACGCCTTGATAACGCTTTCTCTAATATCTTCAAGCTAAGATCTTCATTAGCCTCATCATCATCTATAATGGCAACTGAATCTTCTCCGTCATCAATAACAAAGTTTATATCTTTACGCTTCGGCATGACTCAGGGATCAAAACCCTAAATCCAAATTTCTAAATTTCGAATGATTTGGTTGAGAAATTCGAATGATTTGGCTGAGGAAGAAGAAGAAGATTTAGGTAGGGTTTGTTTTTGTTCGTTTTACCAATTAAACAACCGGTTTACCATAACCGGATTAATCAAGCTATAACCAAGAACCGACTATTTCGGTTATCGGCATCGATTGTGAGATTAACTTGAACCAATCTCTTCGTCTCTGGTAATAAACTCTTTTGATTTAGATTTTGCAGCAATTAGTCTTGTTTTGGTGTCTTTCTAATCTCACTCACAGGACTGTGGGATCTCTTATTTGGAATATATACAAGTATATTTTGATCCTACGACTGATATATTTTTAGTGCTTTAATGTTGGGTTTATAATAGAAAATGGATACAATTGAATTATCAGAACCAAAGAACTATTTGTATCTTTTGATCCGAGACTTACTGTGTTAGAGAGAATCTCAATATTAGTATTGATTCTTTTTCACGAAGACTTGGAGGTCTTTACTGTCTCTATTGCCTTCATGAGATCCAACACTTTAAACCCAAGTTCAGAATTTATATCTCACTTGGTAAGTGTCTACCTTTTGTCATTTTGGCTGTGACCTTTTATAATCTGTAGATAACAATTTAATCTAACTATCATATTTTACTAGTTTCTTTCTTCAAGCCCAAAACGTGAAAGCTGCTGTGATGTGATTCATTCATTGGGTTTTTTGCTGATTTTAACTTGTTTTTTTCTTCATGCATTTCTTTCGATGCTCTCTTTATCGCATCTTGCAGATGAGCTCGGGAAATTTAGGGACCTTGTAGTTGAGTCAAAAGATAAAGGTGTAGAGATAGTTGCTGCTGTGGCGAAACAAATGCTTGATAAGCACATGTTTATCTTTGGAGCTGTGGAGGAAACTTCTGCAACCATGAAACTTAATCAATTAACAGAGCTACAGAACGCACGTGTGCGGTTTGCCTATGATAGGTATATGATTTTGATCCTTGGTTTTCTCTCGGAGGACTAACAAATCATAATTTGAAATAACCTTTTTAGTGATATGATTTTCATCTTGACTTGCCAGGTTAATCTCTGACACTACTATTGAGCAATTTATTCATTTGGATATGGTGAGTACGAGATATTGAAGTATTTACATTCCCGGAATTTGCATAATTATATCTCTAGTGCTCTTTCCCCAAGATAGAAGACCAAAGGATATATATGTCCAACAATTTTAATCTTATTCTTTGCTAAAGTATCTTATATTGCACCATTCTTGCTGCTTTTGTGCTTATCAGGGTAAGGAAGTTAATCTGAATTCCCTAGATAAAATATCTATAGAATATGCAGAGGCCAAGAAGCGTGCGATCGAAGGTTTGCTACGTTCATATGAACTGTTTGGGCGCAAATTTTTTTTAGTTCTCTAAGTTTTACCATTGATGCTATTTTTTTCCCATCCCATCTCTGAAAGAGCAAAATTGTAAAGTTTATTTGATTTTGAGCTCTGTGAGATTTTAAGCATGTGTTTATGAAAGTTTTTTGTGGTACCATCATGATTCAGTATGTTTATTTATCCCTTGTTTTCATAATCTTTAAGGTGCAGGAGAAATAATGGAGATTGAGGACATAAAGCACATATCAGAAGAGAAAGAGTTAATGGGAGAGAGAATGGAGAAAATGAAAGAAGAATGGGATTCACAAACTTTCATTTTATGAACAAACCAAGCTTGATGGTCTTACTACGACACCGAAACTATTGAAAGATGTGGAACATGATGAAGATGATGGGTTTGATGAGCTTGATAGCTTACTTTCTTAAAGCTAATGTTGCCATTGCAATCGCCGTTCAAGGTTGATGGATGACCGCAAATGAAAACTCTCTGTAGATATGGCATTTACAGGTAGGTTTTGCGTCAATCGGACTCTGTATCAAAATGTTTATTTTTCTGGTTCTCACGATGAATTTTTGATTAGGTAATAGTCAGGTTGTTGGAGAGAGAGAGCACTACACACAGTCTCATAATTTCAGGAGATCATCAACATGTTTTTTTAGGAGAATATATTGGTTAGTTATGTATCTAACAAGGGTATAAACACATCTTAATTCCGTTTTTCTTACTAATAGAAAATATGTAATTGTAATATTCTCGAGTATAGGTGTTCAGAAATTTGTAAGACGATCCATCAAGAGTTATAATATAACCCAAAGAAATCATTGATTATAATTGTTGGCACACAAAAGATATGGATTAGCAAATGACGTAGAGCTAAATTATCAAGGACTTGATCTTATTTTCAAATCAATACAATTAAACAACTTCAACTTCTCAGCATGTCACATCATTAAAAAACTTATCCAATAAAAATAGTTCGATTGATAAATCATTAAAAAATTTACCCAATGAAAACATTTCGATTAATACAGTTCAAATTAAAGATGAATAAGAAGAATTCAATTCTCCCAACATATCCAGCGACGTTTGACGACATCTCACTCTTGACCTTTAAGGCTTTGGAGGATTAACAACTAAAAATGTCACACCCAAACACACCTTGAAAGTCGCAGTTTGGGCTTGTGACTTGGTCTGTGATGGCCGAAAATGGCGTCGTGGCTGTTAGATCGTCGATTGAGGAAGTACGGCGGAGCAATTTGATTTTGGTTGGTCGAATGTAGGGTGGCGAGATTCCAATTACGATTAGGGAGAACAGTGAACAAGAATACCGGAGTTCAAGAAATACCCAAAACCTTTTTCATTGGTTATGCCTTGCCAGGGTAAGGCCCAAAACATGTAAGAGCAGAGAAATCGTTTGGAAAAGTCTCTATTTGTTAAAGAGAAAGCTCAAAACTCATCCATAAATTTTTTAAAATCATAAAACAATAAAATTACTTTCTTACTATACACAAAACTCTAAAATTACCGAGAAAAATTGGGTATTTCCCTCACACTCTGGTCTTTCATATCATTGATTCGGGTTTTTTTCCTTTCAAGATTTTCACTTTTTTGTGGGGTTAATTCCTGGTTCAGTGTTTTCAAAATGTCTCAGAGTACTTTCATGGGAAAAAATATGGGAGAGAGAAGGGCTGGGCTCATGGTTCCAAAGAGGAGGATAAAAATCTCGCATTTCGACAATTCAGCCTTGATACTCAAAGACATTGATTGGACGGCATATGAACCCTCAGAAGTAGGAGATGAAGACGTTGTTGTCCATGCTTCCGCTTATCTGGTAGCTTGAAGGAAAGGTTGTAGGAGCTGATGTTGGGTTGGCTTGTTTTCAGTTTGATTTTGAGACGGAGGAAGATATTGTGGAGGTTCTGAAGATGGAGCCTCTTCACTTTGATCACTGGATGGTATCGCTGGTGAGGTGGTCATCGTGGTTATCCCAAATATCCATCAGCCATAACTTTCTGAATTAGGGTTCTCGAAGTCCCAATTGAATTTTGGGCTGACCCAACCTTCCAATTCCAAGACATTGGAAAGGATTTGGGTAAAGTAGAAGCAATGGATGTTGATGGTGGTCGGGTTCAAGTTACGGTTGATGGTTTCAAACCATTGTGCTTCGAATTAACTATAAGAAAACAGGGTTTTACCGACTATATTGGGTGACTACGTATATAGTCGCCATTTATAGCAACCACATTGCGACTAATTTACGACTACGTTAAGACTATGTAGTGACTAATATTTAGAGCTACAAACTTAGTCGCTATTTAGTTGTCGAAGAGTCACTAACAATTTGGCGACTATTTTACGTCCACGTTCAGAAGACCATATGTTCAACAGAATTAATCGTAACTTAGCCGTAAATCTGCCATTTATCGACTAAAATGACGACTACCTATTTTAGAGACTATCGATTTACAACTACTCATTTTAGTCGCCAAATAGTCACAAAAGACAGTTTAACGACTACTCTGCGACTAATATGGTAGTCGTTAAACAGTTGTTTTCTTATAGTAGGAAACCACCATGTTTCTGCGGTATGAACGACTTTTTGGATATTGTAAGATGTGTCCGAGTCTGTGCCATGATGATGCACACTAAAATTTTAATGCGGTGTTCAACACTAATCAGTTGATTCCGGTTAAAGAGGTGGATGAGGGTAGGCAGCCAGAGGTGGCCCACATGCAATTTAGGGGGTTCAATTGACCCACCTTAAATTACCGAATTGTTTACTAATTATAACACTTATACTTAGTTGACTCCATTATACAAAAAATTCCAGGCACCCATTTCCTTATTAAATTGGTTTTTCCCCAAAAAAAAGTTATATGTTTTGCTAATAACTCTAGTTTCCATTTTTTCTATAAGATATTCATATTGTAATCTTTCACTAAATACCAAATTTGATCATATTGACATTTTATCTTTCATTCCTAGTAAATTCGGTAAAAAATATCAGATATTATTTATTGTTTATTAGTTAAAAACGTGGGTTTGATAATTCATTTTGATATATTTTATTAAATTTAAGATTTTTTTTAAATGTTTGTAACTACTAAAAAAAGAAAACTAATAAAACATTATGAGAAAATTTGAACTAAAAAAATGTATCCTTAAGATGTTTTTTTCTTTGTTTTTTTAATATTTTATAATTTATTTAAATAAATTTGATCCGGATAAAATATTGTTCTGGGTCCGGCACTATTGGCACCTGCAGAGTTTTAAAGGAGAGGTAACTCAGGTGACAAGGCAGGAAACAAGACATGAAGCGAAGGTTTCAGGTGGGTATAAGGGGAAGATTGTTGCGGATGCTCATAACGATGACCGGAAACGGTCTCAACCTGGAAATCATAATGGTGCTTCCTCTTGAAGGCCTAGACAGTTTGCAAGCTATGTTCAATTTAACGATTATCGGTTCTCAAAGGGCCAACAAAATGTGGTTAAAAAGAGGGCTGTAATAGAGTCGCAAGGGGAGCAAACCAAACCTGTTGAGATTGTGCCACCAAACAAATAAGGAAAGCTCTTTTAAAATAAGTAGCTTCAACGGATGTTGCTGCGGTTGGTGTGGAAGTTGAGTCGCTAAGCAGTAAGGAGGTTAATCCGGAGGAGGGTGAAATTACAACATCTAAGTTGCAAGAGAATGATACGGAAAAGGCTAGTAATTTGCGCAATGCAAATAGAGAAGCAGGTTTGTCTGATTACACTCTGAACAAGGTTTAGGAGGAGTCGAGTCCCATGTCAAATGAGGAAGTTGATGGTGATTATTTGATGGTAACCTCTCCTTGCCTGACGGATCTGTTCAAGACCAATGAGGTCGAAGAGACTGCTGACGATTCACGAGATGCATCCGAAATGGTAGAAGAGGCTAGTTCGGATATGATGGTGTCAAAAGTAGATGTTGGGAGCGCAGATTTGGGTAGGGATGGGGATATGGAGACATCTCGAAATCTAAAAGGGAGTGTGCTTCTCATGGGTGTTAGTTCAAAGAAGAGAAATGCTCAACTTTTGGTGTCACCACGAAGAAGGGTTGTAGCTAAGGGAAGCGCGCAACTAAGGGAAGAAAATAATCCGACGAGCCAAGGTACGGTGAAGGGTTTAACGGGTGGAAACAAACCACCAAAACCAAAGGTTAATAAATCAAGATTTTTAGTTGGAATTTTCAAGGTCTCGGGAATAAAGCAACTATCGAATATTTTCGGGATTTGTGGAAAAACGACAAAAAAATACTTAATATTAAATATATAAAAACAGCATTACCTAAAACAAAGTTATTTCCTTGTTCATACATGGGCTTTTCAGGTACAAAATGGGCCACTTCAAATAAGTTCATTGCTCCGGCCCAGAATACGATTAATCCGGCACCCTTTTTAGCTTCTAGAATCTATTTCTTAGTTCAAGATCCCTCTTACTAATACTAACTGGAATCAAAGAATTAGTAGATCGGTTCCGCCCAAAAACTCAAAAGGAATTGACGGGGGCCCGCACAAGCGGTGGAGTAGTTATGAACCATGTCGACCATCCCCATGGAGGTGGTGAAGGGAGGGCTCCAATTGGTAGAAAAAAACAAGAAGTGATTGGTCTAACATAAAAAAAAAAAAAAAGAGGGGTTAAGTTTCGTTTTTTTTTTTACTTTCCTTCATAGATTGCCTCGTCTCATTGTTAAGACTTAAGAAATAGTAGTATCCCTGTCTAACACTAATCCAAGAAAGTCAGCCAGAATCCATCTTCTAATTAGGGAAGAAAGGTGGATTTATAATTGTCTAGTATTCCACCAATTAGTAATCCAAGTTTTCAAACATTTATTACAGCAGAGAGAGATCAACGATGGCAAAAAGACTATAGATGTAAAATAAAAAAAAAGGAATCAATTCTTTCTTTTTTGCCATTTTAAATCTGTGAATTGTTAATGAACCTACCTCATTTGTTGATTCTATTAGATCTAATATTTCTATCGAGCATGAGTTTCTATTCTAATTCGAATAGAATATAGTGAGCCTATGAATCCATTTTCTCTTTTGTTGTTGATTCAATACTCAAAACTTCTGTCACTCCATCCCCGCAGGGGCGGAGAACCCGTTGCTGTCTCGGCTGTGCTATTTTACTAGGAGTTGGACTTCTCCTTTTTCCGACAGCAACAAAAAACCTTCGACGCATGTGGATCGAGGGAGAAAATGGGGAAATCCCATATAGCCCGATATATCTGACAAATCGCACTATATGTCAACCCAAGATGTATCTCCTTCTCCAGGACTTCGAAAAGGTACTTTTGGAACGCCAATAGGCATGAAATGAAAAAAAAAAAAAAAAAAGAGAATGAAATTCTCTATTTCACTTTGATGTGGAAACGTGCTCCATTTTATTTTCCCATTGAGGCCGGAAAGATATGTGGCCATGAAATAGGGATTAAGTGGAACGGAATTGAATGATATATCTAATCCATGCATAATATCATGAAAAATGGATACAAATTTTGACTGCTGTCGAATGGTAAAATTTCTCCTTGCCAAGGAGAAGTCTCGTATTTCTCGAAAAACTGATTGACAAGCATTCACTGCAATAGGTCGTGTGAACCAGTTGTCATAAAATGGGTACCTCAATTTAATATTTGTACATGTTATTGTTATTTTCTGAATTTTTTTTTTTTTTTTTTTTTTTGCTAACCACACATTAATTAATAAAGAACTCCTTGATTGGTTGCCCAATTAGGAGGATAAGTGTCTACAAAAGAAACTTCAGAAAATAAAAGTCTGGAAGAACGAGCTAAGCAGTCCGCTTTAACATTACATAAACGGGGAATAAGAGAGAGCGAGAAGAAGGGGAAAGAGACACGGAGAAAATCAAACTCGTCTAGCAGATTGGAGAAAGCGGATCATTCGTCAGGGGACTGTATCATCGAGACAACTCCGAACATGGAATGTGTTCATATTTATTTTGATCAAATATTTGTATCGGTCGGATTTTTTATTTTTCTCGGAAATAAAAAAATCATCTTAAATTTTGGAAAATTTGTTGGTCATTTTGGTTATATTAATTTGAAAACGGTTGATCCTATTGGTTTTTATAAAAAAGTGCTTGCTAATGAAGATTGACATGATTTATTCTACAATTCTTTCATTGAGTATTTACCAATGATAGCTTCCGATCATTCACCGGTTATAGCTACAACTGTGGATAAGATACCACGTGGTAAGCGATGTTTTAGGTTTGATAAAAGATGGATTGGAAAAGAAGGATTATTAGAGGCAATATCATGTGGTTGATACCTCGATTCCGGTGTAGGTAGGGATAATTTGTGGAAAAATTGACTAATTGTAGACGTGATATCTCACAATGGCAAAGAGTTAACTCCTTATAGACAGAAAACAATAGAGGAACTGCAATATGAATTAGATGCGGCCCAGAGAGATGATACGAGCTCACGAGAGGAGATTACAGAATTAACATTGCTGTTGAAAGAGGTTTCCCGAGATGAAGAACAATATTGGCATCAAAAAGTAGGAGTCTTTGGATGCAGTTAGTGGATAATAATTCGAAAATCTTTCATGCTCTAACAAAACAGAGGCGTGCCAGGAACCGAATTACCGGATTACATGCAGAAAATGAGATATGGTCTGCAAAGGACAAAGATATTCAGAATCTAGCGGTCGCTTATTTTAAGAACTTGTTTACTACAACTAATCCTCAGGCCTCTGAGGAGTCCTTAGCAGAGGTTAAAACAATGATAACGGATCAGATTAATGAATTTTGAATGGCTCCCGCGACAGAATGTGAGGTGCGAGCGGCTTTATTTATGATGCACCCGCAGAAAGCGCCAGGGCCAGATGCTATAGCACCTTTGTTTTTTTAGAAAGCCTGGACTACCATTAAAACATATCTAATATTTCTCGTTAATTCATTTTTACAAGATGGAGTCTTTGAGAAGCGGTTAAATACGACTAATATATGTCTTATTCCAAAAACGGAGCAACCAACTTGAATGACAGAATTACGGACTATTAGTCTTTGTAATGTTGGTTATAAAGTTATGTCAAAGATCCTTTGTCAAAGACTTAAGACGGTCCTACCAAATCTTATTTCGGAAACCCAATATGCTTTTGTAGAAGGGCGACTAATCTCGGTTAATATTCTTATAGCACATGAGATGTTTCACGGGTTGAGAACTAACCAGTCTTTCAAAAAAAATTTATGGCTATTAAAACAGATATGAGTAAAGCGTATGATCGGGTTGAATGGAAATTTATCGAGGAATTATTAAGAAAGATGAGTTTTTGCGAAAAATGGATCTCGTGGATGATGTGGTCTATCACAACAGTCCAATAGAGTATTCTCCTTAGTGGACAACTTAGAGGTCTAATAATTCAAAAAAAGGGACTAAGACAAGGAGATTCATTATCTCTTTATTTATTTATCCTTTGTACAGAGGCACTTATTGCGAAGATTTGGAAAGTGGAACAAAAAAAATTGATTACTGGTATTAAAGTATCCACACCTAGTCCTTCGATATCTCATATTTTATTTGCTGATGATAGCTTGTTCTTTTGCAAAGCCAATAAGGTGGATGACTCTACACATGCAGAAATAAAAGCGGTTTCGGGTATCATAATCTTGGCAGTATGGGCTCTTACCTTGGTTTACGGAAAAGTCTAGGTGGATCAAAGACAAAGATATTTTCCTTTGTTAGAGACAAACTACATGCTAGAATAAATGGATGGCCGACCTTATCGAAAGGCGGAAAGGGAGTAATGATTAGATCGGTAGCCACGACGTTACCCACTTATGTTATTTCTTGCTTTAGGCTACCAAAAACCATCCCCTCTAAACATACAAGTGTGGTCACTAAGTTCTAGTGGAGTTCAAATGGTGATTCGAGAGGGATACATTGGATGGCTTTGAACAAGCTATGTAATAGTAAATCAGAAGGTGGTGTATGATTTCAGAATGTAGATGATTTTAATTTGGCTTTACTAGCAAAACAATTATGACATTTGATTACGGTTTCTGAATCACTTTTTGCGAAGGTTTTCAAGAGTAGGTATTTTCAGAAATCCAGTCCTTTGGATAAAATAAAATCATACTCTCCTTCCTATGGTTGGAGAAGTATAATTTAAGCTAGCTCTCTGGTTATTAAATGACTTATAAAATTTAAAAGAGTCGGTTTTGGGTCGTCCATCTCAGTTTGGGAGGACCCGTGGATTCCAGCTCAATTCCCTAAACCAGCCAAAAGTAATGGTTTAATTATTGACCCATCTTTGAAAGTTAAAAATCTTGTTAACAGCCGGTAAAATTTTTGGAATATTAATCTCTTGAGGGAGCTCTTTTATCATGTAGATGTCTCGCTGATAAGTGTCCTGCCTTTGGGTGCGCCAACTAAGAAGGATATCCTTGGTTGGCATTTCACAAAATCCGGAAAATACACAGTTAAATCAGGTTATCAAATCTCTAAAAGCATATACTTAGAAGGTGCAGTGTCCACCTAAGTTACGCCATTTTCTGCTGCAAATATTATCAGGTTGTATACCGGTTACGAAAAATCTGCGAAAGAGAGATATAAATTGTGACACAAGATGCGGCAGATTTGTCGCAGTAGAGGAAATAATTAACCATACACTCTTTGAATGCCACCTAATACGAATTCCCTTGAATCTTTAACTCTGAAACTGGTTGAGTGAATGGAATAGACTTGTATCATTCGAGTATGAGATCGAGTAGGAAGTTGAACAGTCGAATAGCGAAGATCAAGTGAGTTGAGTGATGCTCGAGTAACTGTCTCAGATGGTCGTATTGGGTTCTGTTCGAGTAGCCTACTCGAGTAGGGATCTGAGATGGTCGTCTTGGGTGCTGTTCGAGTGAAACTGGTGGTACTCGAGTGATGGTCAAGAGTGAAGCTCGAGTAGTGCAGATCGAGTGGATCGGATGTGCTAGAGTGATGATTTAGTGATGAGTTTGAGTAGATCGAGTGGTATAGTGGGGGATCGAGTGGTCGCACAGAGCATGCAGAAAGCCTCTGATATACCGTCTGAACCTTCTCTGGATATGACACACCAAAGAAAGAACAGGATTTCTCCAGGATATTACACACCTAAGAGAGATGATCTAACTTAAAGAGATTTTGATAAAAAGATAGATGAAATGTCTCACAGAGTTACAAAGAGTTTAAGTAGAGAAAGAAGGGGAAAAGATCAGAAGAGAAACACAAGTTACAATGCAATCTCGAAAATGAAAAGAGAATAAGTGAAGGTTTGAATTCGAAAATGAGGCTCCTCCTCTTGGTTTGGACGTGGGCTTGAGACATAAGAGGAGTTGGGCCTCGAATTCAACAGATGGACCATGATGGAGTGACACAATTGCCTCATTAAAAACCTTGTTGAGAAAACCCATTGGGACAAAACTCAACAAGGGAAAAAGAGTACAATTGAGTCACTCTCCCATTGTTGAACTCAATTGACATAGCTCTTTCTCCAATCCAAGGTGGTTTGATAAGCTTCTTCAAGAGAACATCCGCAGCTACAAGCTCATCCTCGGGTTCATGCTGCTCCTCTGGTTCAAGCTGATTCCTTGCTTCGTGCTGCTTTACGGGTTCAAGCTCATTTCTACATTCCATGTCCTTGGTGCTTTCCAGGATCACATCATCCTCTCCCACTTGAAAAGGATTTGACCTCAAATCAAATTTTGCTTACCTTGGAGATCA